GTGGCTAAACCGGCCGGTCCAGCTCCCACAATCGCCACCACAGGCTCCATTGATGAAATGTATAGTAATATTGCGTATGGAGTTCTTGTGTGTGATTGAACAATACAGATGCTGTGATGTATGTATATATATACACACATATATAGAGGGGATTAATTATGTGAATCTTGTGAAGTTGGATTCTCCTATTGCGATTTTGACATGTGGAGGCCATGGAACAACGGAATTGATGAGTAGGGATTTTTTTTTATGGACCTTTGGATAGACTATAGAAATTAACAAATATAATGGCAGTTTATATAAGGTAGTGGGTATCACCTAACAATAATAATAATAAAAAAACATTCATATGTTAAACAAGGGAAAAAAAAAAAGAATTGGCTTAACACTAATTGGGATAGACTTGAGTGTTATATTCCTTCAAATGCATGATCTAGAGTTTGTTTCACCAATCACCATGTATGTGTAAGATATTTATAGAGATATTTATATATATATATATAAGGACCGCCATTGGCGCAAATCTCACGTTCAAGGAAATCACAGAGAACTTTGGCGTAAGGTCTCTGCAATTCTCCAGCTGTCTATTTTATCTCTACTTTGTAGTTGTTATATAAATAAAAAAAGAAAATTTCAAATATATATATATATATACACACCATTGCCCTTTTTAGTTAATGGTGATACTTATAGAGAATCCAGCCATTTATCTCTAATTTTTTGTTGTTGTATTAAAAAATTCTAAATAAATATACAATTTTTTCAAATCTTATCGTGTATATATATATATATATATGTATAAGCGTGTGTATATATGTATATATATGCATATATATATGAGTGTGTATATATGTATGTATATTGAGATATATATGTATGTATATTTTTGGATTTATTTATTATTATTATTATTATTATTTGATCTGTCAAAAAAATTCACTGACAAATGTACACTTTTTCTTATCTTGGCCCAACTGACAAATGTACACTTTCCTTTTCTGTAGTTACGATATTTTTATTAATAATGATCATTTCCACTTATCAGGTAGATTGTAGAATAAGTCATTTTGATAATAACTAAGTAATATACATAAATGCTAAATATTTTTTTATATATATTATATCTTAAAACAACATAAATATACAATTCATTCTTTTCAATTTTTTTATTATAAAATAATAAATTGTAATACAATTATTCAATATATTTTATCAATCTTGTAATGAGTATTATCATATAAATATTTTTTTATTTTATAGATTATATATTTTTTAGGGTATTTTTTTGGTCTTAGTTGCTGTAATATTTCTAAAATACATTTTTTTGAAGATTATATTAAAGATGACACATGAAGAATAAACTACAAAAAAAAAATCAAACAAAACATGGAAAAAGATAATATTTTTTATAAATTGTACCTTATAACGATTTTTTTTATTTATTGCAATCTTTTTTAATATAATCAATTATATTCGTTCAAAATTTATGATAAATGAGGCACAAGAACTAAATTTTAAAAGAAAAAACTGAAATAAAATAGTAAAAATATTTATATTTATGAATTCAACATAAAATGGGATGCTTTGGAGAAAAATGTGTATCGATTATTTAGAAAATAAACTAAAACGAAAAAAATACACTTTTGAGAATACTCAAGGTTCTAAAAAATGAAAGAAAAATAATTAATTCTGGGAGAACACAAATTTACATATTTAATATTTACACCAATTTTACTAATATATACAAAAACCTAATTTGAACTTTCACCACATCGAACATATATATATTGTCATAACCAAAGATATCTAAATATATTTATTTGTTAGATGGCATAATCTTGAGATGTTTAATGTAAGGATAGTAGATTTATTGCGTCTAATTCTAATAATCATAATGGAATTTTTATTATATAACAACAAAATTAGATAAAATGTAATTTGACATAATTCTCCTTAGGATTTTACTCTATTATTAACGCTATATTTATACAAGCGAGGAGTCTTAGGTTAAGTTCTAAGTTAATTAATACATGGCAACGAAAATATTTACATATTTTCTATAATATCCCTTATTACACTTTCTTGGAGCGAAACGAGAGAGAAAGTTGAGAAATAGAGATATGAATAAACATGTCGACATATTGTGAAGAGGATGAGATATGGAGAACTCGAATGTGACCAAGAGCAGCCTATTCACGGACGAAGTAGATATCGATCTCGATGTGTTTATCCTGTTTGTGTTCTACTGGATCAGCCGACATGTACATTGTAAAGAAATTGAAGAATTTGTTAGAGTATATACCGTTGGGATTGAGTTGTTAAGTATATATTCGTATCTTAGCTGATATGCTCTGTTTCCTATTTTCCAGCAACTACCTGGTTGTATTTAAGGAAGACATTCTTCCAGTTTCGTAACTAAGAAATCTATTCTATTGATCAAACTTCTATAGTTTCACATGGTATCAGAGCTACATGAGTAGTTCCTGATTTTCTTTTTTTCGGTCCCCTATTTCCTATTTCCTATCTATCTTTCTTCGTGAGATCCGGAAGAGGATCCATCATGAGGATCTGGCGTCTGGCAGGAGTGAAGGATAATCTGCATTCCCACTTTCAGCTCAAAGATCTGGGCACATTGAATTATTTTTTGGGATTGGAGATTGCTCGTTCTACTCAAGGTATCTCGGTTTGTCAGCGTAAATATACTCTGGAACTTTTGGAAGAGTTTGGTATGCTCGGTTGCAAACCTCTCGCCACGCCCATGGAGTTTCATCAGAAGCTGAGTCAAGAATCTGGAGATGTTCTCCCTGATCCATCTCATTATCGGGCCTTGATTGGTAAACTGATATACTTGTCGATTACTCGTCCGGATATCAGTTTTTCTGTGACAAAGTTGAGCCAATACATGTCTCAGCCACGTACGACGCATCTTCAAGCTGCTTATCGGGTGTTACGTTACTTAAAGACTGATCCTGGACAAGGGCTTCTATACTCGTCTTCCTCGGATACTAATCTTCGGGGTTACTCAGATGCGGACTGGGCTTCTTGCCCGGATTCGCGTCGTTCGGTTACTGGTTTCTGCATTTTTCTTGGGAATTCCTTGGTGTCTTGGAAATCAAAGAAGCAACAAACCATTTCCCGGAGTTCGGCGGAATCGGAATACAGGGCTATGGCTCAAACTACTTGTGAACTTGTTTGGATCGATACTCTGCTTCATGAGCTGCGTATCATCTCTTCTCGCCCTATTCCGTTATTCTGGGAGAACCAATCTGCTGTTCATATCTCAAACAACCCGGTTTTCCATGAACGAACGAAACATATCGAACTCGATTGTCATTTCGTTCGTGATCGGTTTAAGTCGGGATTTCTCAAGCCCCTGCATGTTCCTTCTCGGGACCAAATTGCTGATCTTCTAACGAAGCCTGTCTCTATCGAAGCATTCCAGAGATTATTATCCAAGATGGGTGTTCACTCCATGTACACTCCATCTTGAGGGGGAGTGTTAGAGTATATACCGTTGGGATTGAGTTGTTAAGTATATATTCGTATCTTAGCTGATATGCTCTGTTTCCTATTTTCCAGCAACTACCTGGTTGTATTTAAGGAAGACATTCTTCCAGTTTCGTAACTAAGAAATCTATTCTATTGATCAAACTTCTATAGTTTCACAGAATTGAAGTGAGGAAAGAAGAACATATCAAAACAAAGACTTGCTCAGATATGCAACTCTCTCATAGAGACGAAGAAAAAACTTAGGATTATTTAGGGGGAAAATTCTGAAAGATATTCCCTTTATTCCCTTGACAATCATGTACAACTCTCGTAGTCTATATATAAGTTTGATGTGCATATAGAAAAGGAAATGAAACTGTTAGTGCAATTATTTGCACATGTGTTTTTAGTCGTTAAGTGGTTATTGCAGGTTCAACAAACTTGAGAGATTTCAGGAGAAGAATCTGGCGAGATAGAGCTCACGCAAATCTGAGGTACAACTGACGAGTTTCAGATAAAGTCAAATACTCTAAGAGATTGAGATGAACTCAATGTCAACCACTTGGAGAGATTTTAGGGAACACAATCTGAAGAGATAGAGCCACGAAGTTTAGATTTGACTCCAAGAGATAAAGATAGAATCAAAGCTAAGAAGATTTGAGGAGATTTAAGATAGAGACAATCTTGGAGATAAAGTCAAAGACTTGAAGAGATAGAGACAAAGATGAGATCTTGGAGATAGAGATAAAATCCAAGAGAATCAAGGAGGAGTCTATCAAATGAATTTGTGGAGATCTAAGGCGAACTGGAGGAGCCTATATAAAGGAGACACAAGTTGCAGATCAGTTTTCACGGAGAACAAAGCATATTTTACTAAAAGAGAGTTTCTGTTAGTGCGCGATAACTCATTATTTGGTGTGTATGTGTCTGAGATAGAGACCCATTGCGCAAATCTCTTTTCTCTGGTGAGTGTTTGGATGTGGATCTAAGGGGGAGACCTAATGGAAAAATCTCCGTTCCTTTGGTGAGTGATTTACATTTGGTAAGGTTTTTGATCGGTAGAATTCATTGTGAGAGTGGGTGTTGAGTAACTCTAACAAAAAGTGAGTTGTACTTGACTTTTTCTCAAATGAATAGAACTAATTAGTTTTTCCCTTTACTCTTTGAGGGTCCGGTTTTTTCAGAATCAAATGTAAAAGGAAATACATTTATGTACAAACGGTAAATTGCAGAATTTTATTTTTGCGTTGTTTCTGAGTTGTTTATGTCTTGGAGTTTCTGTCGTCATTGGTTATGTTCAGACTGTTACTCGATCGTCTTTGTATCCACTTCATACTTGTCAATATTCCCCTTAAAAATTAGACGTGAATAATCGATGAGTCCAATCTTGGAGAGACATTTATTGAGAGTGAATGAACTTGTAGCTTTTGTCAAGATATCTGCGAGTTGATACTGACTTCTAGTGTATTTGGTTGCGATTAGTCCTTGCATGATCTTCTCCTAATAAAGTAGCAGTCAACTTCTATATATTTCGTTTTTTCATGAAAGACTGAATTTGAAGCTATGTGGAGAGCCGCCTGATTATCGCATTGTAATGTAGTCGGTTTCTCCAATCGATTCCCACGTAATTGAGCAATTTTTGAAGCCAGATTATTTCACTTGTAGTGTTTGCCATTGTGCGGTATTCGTCTTCGACACTTGATCTTGCAACCACCGTCTGTTTCTTGTTTTTCCATGTGACTAGATTCCCTCCTATGAAGGTATAGTAGCCAGTTGTTGATTTGTGATCCTTTTGGTCTCCGGTTCAGTTTGCATCACAGTATGCCATAATTTATGTATGTTGATTATTCGTCACTTGCACTCCTTTGTTTGGTGTTGCTTTGAGATATTTGGGTATCCTCTCCACCATGAGCCAATGAGTGTTTGTTGGAGCATGCATCCATTGGCTGATCTGATGCACAGTAAAGCTTATATCAAGACGTGTTATTGTAAGGTATATTAACTTACCCACAACGCGTCGATATCCTTCGGGATCTTCCAATGATTCCCCCTCGCGTTGGTTTTTGGAATGTTCTTCAAGCGGGATCTAAACCGACTTACAATCAAGCTTCCCTATTTCCTGTAACAAGTCCAAAACGTATTTTCCTTGCAACGAGAATAAAGAATTAGTCCTGAGTGACTTCAATGCCAAGAAAATATTTCAAGACTCCAATATCTTTAATGTCGAATACAAAGTTTAAGTATTGTTTCGTTTCTTGGATTCCAATACGGTCACTTCCTACAATGATGATATCATCAACATAGACGAAAAGAATAACAATACTACAAGACGTCCGAAGAATGAAAAGGGAGTGGTCAGAGTCGCTTCAGGTGAAACCTTTACCAGTTAGAGCGAGATAGAGTTTGAGGCCATAGAGCGATTTTTGTAGTCGACAAACTTGTCCTGGCTTAATCGGACGAGGGAACATAGAGGAGGGGTCTGTAAATCTCTTCTTCCAAGTCACCTTGGAGAAAAGCGTTTTTCACATCCATCTGCCACAAATCCCAATTTAAATTAATAGATAAAGATAAAATAACACGAATAGTGGACAACTTAGCTATGGGGGCGAATGTCTTGGTGTAGTCTTCGCCGTAAGTCTGAGTGAAACCCTTGGAAACCAAGCGGGCTTTATAACGCTCTATTTCACCCGTGCTTAAAATATTTGATTTTATAAATCCATTTGCAGCCAACGGAACATTTGTTCGGAGGAAGGTCAGCAATCTCCCATGTGTAGTTTCGCTAGAGGGCCGAGATTTCCTCCTCCATAGACTTCTGCCAAACCGAGATTTTTTTGGCCTGTAAAAAACTAATAGGTTCTTGTACCTGTTCAATAGCACTCAAGAAGGCATGATCAATAGGTAAATCTAAAGATGAAAAAGGATGACTCGAGTGATGGACAACCATGTTCGATTGTCGATTGCGGGAAGCTGGAAACACCCATTCTGAACCGAGGTGGGTGGAAGGAGTGCGAGGTCTGTTGCTCTGACACAGAGGGACATGATCAGTATACAGGACAGGGGCAAGGTCTGTGCAAGATTTGATGCCTGGTGGAGCTTCGTCCGCGATTGGTGGAGCTAGGGTTGAGGTCAAACATGGAAGAATTTGTGCAGGGACGATGTCTACCCATGAATTGGCGTCTGCTGGAGGTTCAGTAGAAGTTCCCCCTTGCTTAGAGGAAGCAGAACTTGTGGGGCGAGTCGAAGGAACAAGGACGAGACTGGGCATGAGTTCCCCCTCACGCAGAAGAGCTGTAGCATCAGGCACCGATGTCGAATCTGCATAAATTATTAGTGGTGTAATCGAAGGTAAAGGGATACCTGAAACCTATGAAAGCATGTGAGCAGGTCCACTATTGTCAGCGGAATGCAAGGCGAAAATGGGTCCTGCAGGGTGAGGTGTCGAAGGAGCTGGGGATGTGTTGTTTAAAGTGCTAATAGATTGAATGTATTGTAATGAATACTCATTATAGTCTGAACCTTGCTGAATTAAAATTTTCAAAACGGTCCAGTCATGAGAACCAAAATAGCTAACATCTTCAACAAATTTAGCGTCGCAAGAAGTATAAAGATGTCGGGTTTGAGGATGGTAGCAAAGATAACCTTTTCGATCCGGTGGGTAGCCCAAGAAGCCATATCGAATGCTCCGAGGGTCGAGTTTATCCCATGCTCCTTCATGAACACGAACAAATCACACACAACCAAATACTTTAAGATGATCAAGAGTAGGTTTCTTATGGAAGATTACCTCATACGGTGATTGATCTCGAAGAATTTGTTTCGGGAGACAATGAATAAGATAACACGCCATCGTCAGCGCATCACCAATATTGTTTTGACGTAACAAAACATAATCAGATTGAAGGTTTATTCAGTTAAAATTGGTTACGTAGACATGCTGACATCAACTTTCTGAGCCAACGTGGATTTCCGATCGCCTGAAATTGTGGTCAAACAAGTCAACGGATTATTAGAGCAACAATTTGCAAGTTCGAGGTTTTATTCAGTTACATATTGCAAGTTTGGGGTTTGAATGGCAGCTTTGCAAGTCGATGGTTTATTTGTATATTTTTTTGCAAGTTCGAGGTTTTTTAGGAGTTTTACCCTAGATTAAATAATCAAACGCATTAACGATCACTATCACGGTTCCTAAATCGATCAACCTATCTTTCAATAATCTTAATCAATTCATTCAATGAATTCATTCCGAATCTAATTCCAACTTTCATTGCAAATCAGAATATAAGATCAATCAATCAACTGACCAAGAAGATAAAAAACAATAAACTCAATTCAATAAAACCGACGAGTATCGATAACGTAATCTAGGAAAATAAAAACCAAACAAATCTCTCCAAGGTTAAATTCCTATCTATAGTGAAACGACTACTCACTAGCCATAACAACAAACGAGTTTAAATCAATAAGAAGAAATATAAACATATAAAGAAGAAACTTGCAGTGATCTCTTGACGACGGTTCTTCAATCTCTGCTCACGGAAAACTCCGTCTTGATTCTCTCTCGAACTCTCTGGCTTCTCCTTGACCTCTCGATGATTTTTTGAAACTCAAGACGTCTTCTCATTATTGGCTTGGTGGTTAGGCTTCTTTCCTTTTCAAAAATGGCAACTTGGATACAAAGTAGGAAATCTTCCCGTAAGCAACACAGACGTGTTGTTACTCAACACGGTTCTTGTTAATTGTCTGATTAAAATTTTTGCACTTCTACACGGGCTGAACATGGGTGAGCTGCACGCGACACAGCCGTGTCAAAGGACGATACGGTTCGTACTGATTGTCTGAGTTAATTTCTTCATTTCTCTACTTCTGTACGACCGTGTTCGAACTGACATGGTCATGTTCAGATGCAACTCGAGCTAGATACGTTTTTTTCCCATTCCAATCCAATTTGCTCTGAATCTCTTGTTTATGCTCCTATAACGTCCAGAATGTATCTGTTACTTGCTCAATCACCAAGGAAAATAAAGGAACAAAAACTAGACCTAAAATGATTTTAATTGTCTAATAATGCACAAAACCGATGCGAAATTGCTAGACAATGCGTCCTAAAATAGAGAAAAAAAATCATGTTACCAACATGAAAATTTTTAAAAGCTTGGCACACGTCGCTTTTCTTACGCATAGGAATAATCCATGTGCATTTGGATTTCTCATCAATAAAGGTAACAAAATATTTGAAATTTTTCCGAGATAAGAATGGAGCGGTCCAAACATTCAAATGAACGAGATCAAATACATTATCATAAGTAGTAGTGAAAAGAGGAAAAACTGAACAAACATGTGTTCCAAGTGTACAAGCCTCACAAAAAAGATCAACGTCTTTATGTCCGAAAACAACTAAATTTAAAACTTTAGAATGCGGATGTCCCAAACGAGCATGCCAAATGTTTGAAGAAACAAAACGAAAACTAGAATGTAGAGCATGAGGATCTTCAAGGTAGAATAAGCAGGCCTTTTTGTATCCTTTGTCCAATATCTCATTTATCTTAATATCATGAAATAACACATTATCAACTTCGAAGATAACTTGACAGTCCATTTGTTCAAGGAGTTTTGATTAGAGATAAGAGATTAATCTGAAAATCAGGAACACAATAGCCAGATAACAGTTTTCCAAATAATGGTAGTGTCATGTCCCTTAATCGGAATCCGATTATCTTTGGCAAATGAGAAAACGCCACTGCTGACTATTAAAGCTCAATTTATAACAACATATAGAGAAGAAGAGTTATCAGATTTCTTGGGGTTCATGGCAAGCAGAAATTGCTTAAACCCCCTAAGTTCATTAGCAGTGAAGGAGATCGAAGTGTCCCCTGAAGTCGCGGTTGTACTTGCTGTCATGGTTGTGCCTCGTGGGTTGATGTCTCTGTAACGAGTAGGTTTCAGATGTGGGTTAAGGATCCAACAACGATCCTTGTCATGCCCACTCTTTTTACAGTGATCACAAAATGACCCACAACGTTCTTTGGAGCGGGGGTTCGTCATGGCTAGGATTTTGTTGTAATGGGCAAGTTTGTGTGTCCGATAAAGATATTTTGGCCACCCTCCTCTCCTTTGATCATCATACAAACCTCATCGAAGCTTGGCAACTTTGTTTGACGCAACAAATGGTATATCAAGTCGTTAAATGAACCATCGAAAGTGAGAAGTAGAGAAAAAACCTTGTCTTCCTGAGCCCTTTCGAGTGAAGTCTGAAGATTGGTGGAGGGAGGTCTGAACTCGTCTAATTCAGCCCATAAAGCGCATAATTCGCCTTGGATCTTGTGTAAAGGGTATCCATTCTGTTGCAAATTAAACAACTTCTTCTTTATTTCGAAGATCCGACTTATGTTCGAAAGATTACCATAAATGTTCTAAAGAGAATCCCAAAGGGATTTGGCGGTGTCGTTGCCAATAAATGATTGCAAAATGTTGGCTTCGAGAGAACTCTATAAAATCACGAGAGCTTGACTGTCAGATTAATCCTACGCTATGTAATCCGTTTTCTCTTGTGTATTGTGGCACGCCATTAATGTCGGGTCACCCTTCAATAGGGAAAATAGGAGATGCTCGGACTTTCATGGTGATGACATGATCCCACAATCCTTTGTTATGAAGCTGTTGTTGCTGCCTTCTTCTAGTAGCAAAAATTGTCGCCATTGAGTAGAATTGGGATGAACTTGCCCTAAGATTCCATTGTAGAACTGTTGTCGGACAATTTGGAGGGAAGAAAAAAGGATAATTTAGTGCAGAAAGCTTGATGAGTACAAATCTTTCCACTCTAATACCATAAAGAAATTGAAGAATTGAAGTGATGAAAGAAGAACAGATCAAAACATAGACTTACTCAGATGTGCAATTCTCTCAGAGACGAAGAAGAAACTTAGGGTTATTTAGGGGGAGAATTCTGAAAGATATTCCTTTTATTCCCTTAACAATCATGTAAAACTCTCGTAGCCTATATACAAGTTTGATGTGCATATAGAAAGGAAAGTGAATCAAATGTAAAAGGAAATACATATATGTAAAAATGGTAAATTGCAGTTTTTACTTTTTTGTTATTTATGAGTTGTTCATGTCTTGGAGGTTATGTCATCATTGGTTATGTTCATATCTGACTCTTACTCGATCGTCTTTGTATCCGTTTAATACTCACCAACACATAGTACTAAGATTGTCGCAATCCTAATATGTGGTGACATTTAGACTTTGTATTGATTCATTGGTTTATAAATGCATTACTTTTTTCCGTTATATGATTTATATGTTTGTTATATATCAATATTCTTGAGTTATTATAGAATAATTCTAAACTCTTTGGTGAGTTATCATTGTGGGAATGATGATAAATTAAGACCAGTATGAGGTATGATTGATAATCATTGGAATGATCATACGCATTGTAAGCGAATCACAATCATGGGTACTCGTCAGGAACGAGTGACTGAATGACCCGTATGAGATTGTCACATGTACACAGGTCAAGACTTGTGTCTCATGTAGCGGTTCGATCTTAGATCCTCAGATCTGAGATGTCTAGAGTATTTGATATGAAGAAAAGCGTATCTTGACTACGTCAAACGTCATATTTAATCGGATTATCATAACTACATGATCACATACATTTATGAGTCATGTAGATATAATCAACAATTATGACAGGATTTATCACTTCCTTAAAAAAAGAGATATCTTTAGACCCCTCGTGCAAATCGGACTGTGAAAATGCATGGTCGTTCTTAGATGATCGTCCATTTACTTTGTCAATCGATTTGCCAGACGAGAAAACGGTTGAACTTGAAGGGTGAGTGGTTCCATATCCTTGTTCAATATATGATATCGCGGGAGAAAGAATCAGAACTTGAGTTGTTACCGACTTGAATAGATCACCTCTAACTCAATTCAAAGTGAGTGCATGGTGTCTTGCTAGAGTCTAACCATGACTTGTGGTTCAAAAAATATTTCCGAAATCACTATCATTGAGAATGGGCCTACAAGGTCATACACCACTAGAGATAAAAATACAAGTACTAAAGAATCCGAAGAATGGAATTGAGATTATACCGAAACGAGCATGAAAAAGTGTTCTCAATGTATTGGTACGGAGCTAACCAAGTTTGGTGAGCCCCGAACCACGTTTGGTCAACCCCAGACCCTGTTTGGTCAGCTGAGAATGCGCAACTCAACCCATGATCATTTGTACAGATCTGGTCCGATGGACTAAGAGTTGGTCAGTTTCGGACAAGATGTTGGATCAGGCGGACCAAAACCTTGTTAGATTAGGGAGGAGGTTTATTCGAATTAAGGAGGAGGATTATTTAGTGTTTAAGATTTTGGAAGAGATTAGGAAATATTTGAAAGAAGAAAGAATTTGAAGATTTTGGAAGAGGAAATGTTTTTCTTAATTTCTCTCTTTGTTTTTTCTCTTCAAATTTGCTTGATTTCAAACTTCATACAAACACACATATTTGTACTATAAACTCACACCTAACTATATATCTAACTCATTTATTAAACACATTTTTGCCTAATTTTCTTCCATACATATTCTACACATTTCTAACATATTAATCATATTTCACACACCTTTCATATTAATCATATTTTTCATAATCATACCAAAATCTTTATTTAATTAATTTTCTAAAATTAAGTTTATTTTTTCAACACTTCCTCATAAACTTGATTTTAGTGATTCTGAGCGCACTCCTAATCTTTTCGAAATCTTCTCATTTCAATGGCTTTGTAAAGATGTCAGCAATCTGATCATGCGACTTGACATACTGAAGTTCCACCTTCTGTTGGTTTAGTGCTCTATGATGCACTGATTATGAGCTTTGTTCAGATACATTCGATGTATTGATACTTTCTATGTGATTTTATGAGAGTATTTTATTCATTACATGTTCTTGCATGCTAGATCTGTTATGAAATCCATGTATCATTAGGAACATAATTCGTGAATACGAATGGCATGCAAAGGATTCGAATGGGGCGAACAAGAGAACAAGTTCCTACAGATTTAATGTTCTTTTAACGACTTATGAAATGATTCTTGCTGATTCATCTCATTTACGGGGAGTTCCATGGGAAGTTCTTCTCGTTGATGAAGGGCATCGTCTAAAGAATTCAGAAAGTAAGCTGTTTAGCTTGCTCAACACATTCTCGTTCCAGCACCGCGTGCTTTTGACAGGCACCCCTCTTCAGAATAACATTGGTGAGATGTATAATCTTCTCAACTTCTTGCAACCATCATCATTTCCTTCTTTATCTTCTTTTGAAGAGAAGTTCCATGATCTGACAACTGCTCAGAAAGTAGAGGAACTGAAGAAACTTGTTGCTCCTCATATGCTTCGGCGGCTTAAAAAAGATGCCATGCAAAATATTCCACCAAAGACAGAGAGGATGGTGCCAGTTGAATTGACTTCAATCCAGGCTGAATATTATCGTGCAATGCTAACTAAGGACTATCAGATACTGCGGAATATCGGAAAGGGGGTGGCTCAGCAGTCGATGCTCAACATTGTGATGCAGTTAAGAAAGGTTTGCAATCACCCATATCTCATACCAGGCACTGAGCCAGAATCTGAATCAGTGGAGTTTCTTCATGAGATGAGGATAAAAGCTTCAGCTAAGTTGACTCTGTTGCATTCCATGCTTAAGGTGCTACAGAAGGAAGGGCATAGAGTTCTGATATTCTCGCAGATGACAAAGCTTCTCGACATTCTGGAAGATTACATGAATGTCGAGTTTGGTCCTAAAACATACGAAAGAGTGGATGGTTCTGTTTCTGTAGCTGATCGCCAGACAGCCATAGCCCGTTTCAACCAAGACAAAAGTCGGTTTGTGTTTTTGTTATCCACACGCTCCTGTGGCCTTGGTATCAATTTGGCAACAGCTGATACTGTCATTATCTATGATTCTGATTTCAACCCTCATGCCGATATCCAAGCTATGAATAGAGCTCATCGAATTGG